GGACAGGCCTCCGAAAATATTGTCAATCTGTACCATTGTTATCGAATGGACTGTTTGTTTACGATCCGTAAAAAAACTGTGTCTATTCGTAAATATAGGGAAGATGTGTCTAGGATAGGTGTCTGAAAAGTTTGTCGATCCGTACCATTGGTATTGAATGGACTGTTCGTTTACGTTCAGTAAACAGATTTTGTCCATTTGTAAATAAAGTAATTTAGCACCATGCAAGTGATGCAACTAGGGTTTGTCCCCGAAAAGGTTGTCGATCGAAAACAATTTGTGATAAAGATACGCTGTTCCTTTTCAATCACAACTGCCCTCCTTATGTCATTGTCGAATGGATTGTTTCGTCGCTATAGTAGCTACATATAACAAGTCTATTTTAATACCGTAGCTAGAGATTTGCCAGGCGGAAAACGACTTCTTATAAATATGAGAGCCCAACATAATTATAAAATTATGAAAGCCATCAAAACAATTCAGAGTTTAAAAAAATGCATTTCTAACGTTTTGTCTTTAACTTAAAGACATCTCTATTTTACTAATAAACATATCTTGTTGTGTGCTATATATAATGCATTAACATTTTGCGGCTTTTAATAACAATGCATGTTATATTGCTCGTATTTTTCTTGAGAACGCAGGAATATCATATATAAATAGACTATCTTATTGTTTGCAATGCGTGTTTTGATTTCATACTCCAAGGGAATCTATGACTATGCCTATGCGTATAGCGGTGGGTAAATGAAAGTTTTCCATTAAAATTATACATGCACTCTTTAATTGTTGGTGGTTTTTTTTGAGAATAAGGAATGTTAGCTACATATACAAATTAACACTGATATACAGACAGTTATCTTGAGTGCTGCATGCATGTATTTAGTAAAGTAAAGCTTTGTGATGTATGACACATATACAGTTATTTTGTCTTGAGAACGAGGAATGCTACATACACCTATATAGTATTCTATTTTACTGATAGATATGCATATCTTGTGCGCTATATATATTGCTGTGATATCTTGCGGCTTTTAATAACATGTTATATTGCTCATATTTTTCTTGAGAACGAGGAATATTATATATAAGTAAATAGTCTATTTAATTGATAAGGCATATCTTTGGTAAAATATATTGAAGCGATATCTAGCGAGTTATTTTAAAAACTTGTGTATTGGTATCGTCCTCAAAAGGGATCTAAGCGTATAGCGGAAACGGTGTTATTTACGATTGGTAAATGCACGTTTTCCATTCGTACAGATGGAACGAATCAACAGTCGTTTCGTGTATGGGGGTTGTCGATCCGTATGCATGCGACAGTATTGGACATGTATGCATAGTCTTTATCAAATCTGCCAACAATGTGGATAATATGAGGAATTTTTCAGCTGATTTTTGTCAAGATTCTGATGAACTTGACAAACAAGTGCATTGTTCTTACAGAGAATTGGCCAGTTTTCTTGCAGTTTTGGTGGAATTATATATTGTCATTGACCAGCCCTTTGGATCTAATTTCTTTTTACACCACTTTGGAAGTGCCCCTTATCATTTTAGAATTGCCCTTGGTGCAGATGGGGCACCATTTGGAAAAGATGATGAGGCCACAGCATCGCTGCTATCATTTTTAAATGTTGGCGAGCATGTCCAAAGCTAAAACGATAATTTTGAGCCTATACTACGTAGGCTTATTGATCAAGGAATGGCTGAACCATTGCATAATTCAAACAATGCCTGGGGTTATATGCATTTGCTTATATTGGAAGTGGCGTTGGGTAAGTCTAAAATTGCAGCAAGTTTCACCAATGTTGACAGTCTACCAAATGATTCACCTTTTTTAAAATATTTAATAGCTTTTAAAAGAGCAATTAAAGGCCACCAGACTATTTAAGAAGGTCAAAAAATGGTTCACCAAAGGTCGAAAAAGGTCATTTGCATTCAGATTTACTGGAAAAGAAACTAAAATTATGTGCCATAAGTTTTTGTTTCTTATAGTTAGTCTGAGTAGTGACTCAGATAGTCCTGAAGCAAAACTTCAGCTTGCAGCGATTGCATATTGTTGTTTGCAATTGAGAAATGCCATCTCATTTCTCTCATGTGAACATAGTTCAGGCTGAAATTGATAGGTGTAAAGAACCATGCCAGTGTTTTTATAATGCTAATATGCTGCACATACTCAGATACTATTTGACAAGTATGGTTGAGGTCTGGGCCTCAATAGCAAGCAAGGAAGAGAGGTAAAGCATGTTAGACTGGCTCAGTATGCTAAGCATTCAACTAAAACCAGACGTTGGTTTATGGTCCTTAGGCATGACTTCATGGCAAATATTTGGGTAAGAATAAATGATCCTCTGCATACTAAATATACCAAATATAATTGGGAATACATACCAAAGGATGTTGGCAACAAAACTGTTTGCAATTGCAGTTTTCCCTTACATGCAGAAGCAGATAGTTGTCAAATCTTCTCATAATCACAAAGCTGTTGAAAAATCAGCTGTGGCTGGCAGTCTAGCTCCAGCATTAATTAAGCTTATAAAGATGAAGAGGGTGTAGATATGTTACATACAGAGTTTAATATAAGTTATTAGTGAAATAGTATTCATTTTTCACATACGTTAATAAGTCATGAAATATGAGGAAAGTGTTGTTGTTCACTTCTGTCTAATGAGGATTAATTTGAAGTGACTATGTATTTACATAGCTAAGCTTATCCATCCAAAAATGGTATAGACACTTTGAATTCAAAGTGCAATTTGAAACTTGTTATGAAATATTTTTATTAAAAATTTTTACTATTTCACAGTTTTTAATAACTTGTTTGTGAAATAATATTTACTTGACATGTCTAGATATTCAACATTCCTTGTTTTTTTAAAAACTGTACCGTATTTTCCTGTTAAATGGTGGAGCTTTAGAACTTCGTATACTTCCTGTGTAAAGCATATTTGCCATGGGTTAGAAGATCAAGTTAAAGACGTCATTCTCCGAATTGCAATTTTGTTCCTACGAGTGAGCTCTCTTGCGACAATTGGATAAAGCAGCGCAACATGGAATTTACATGCATCTTCGCCTTCCCACATGTATTTCTTTATCACCTCTTTTGAACGTACTAAAACTTCTGATCCAATTTTTCCCGCTATAGAATATGCACAATATAAATGTGAAATATTATTATTATTATCTGTACACATAACAACTTCACTTCCACTTACTTCTAATAGGTCAGATTGTTCCTAGTCTCTGAACTCTTAAAGGTCACAATTTTTAACACTCTCCCCCTATTGAAGTGTCATGAAATGCAGCTTTATTACATTTCTAGTCCTTCTCTAGTTCGTTCAACGCAATTCCAACTATCGATTTCGAGCAGTTTCCCTCGCCTTTCATTCTGACCTTCTTGGTTGGAATTCTTTCACTTCTGGGTTTAGTTTCTGTCCATCACCTTTTCCTTCTGTTGTTGTCACTGAACCGTCACCGGCAATTTCTAGACCAGCAACCAGCTGAGCTGGTCTTTCCACAAGATATTTTCTGTTCGTACTTTGTACTCCATCCTTGCCCTTGATCTTTCCTTCGACCCATCCAATTCTCCATTTTGCCATTCTCTTCAGTGAATCCTTTATCAACACAACTCCCCTGTTTCCAAAGATATTGCACCTCGACTTGCATTTGCATTCTGCTTCTCGTCAAGTGTGCCTAAATACTTCTTGACCCAGCGTCTTTGTAGCTGCTCTCGACAACGTTTCAAATACTTCTGCCGCCGCATTCATCCGCTTCTTCCCCCAACTCTTCGACATTTTTCTCCAGACATGTTACTGGTTCCCCTCTAAGCAGGATATTTGGAGTTACCGCACGTTCCTTGAGTTTTTCTCCCAGATATGCAAGGGGTCTATTGTTCATAAAACATTTGACATCCAATAACATATCTTTGAGTTCCGCGAAAGAGAGCATAGCCTTCCCAACAACCTTCGATAATGCTGATTTCATCATACCAATTAAAACTCATTGCCGTCCGATCGGGTGACATTTTGAACTGGTTTGCTGATTATAACTTGCGAATCCTGTTCGAATACTTGACCGATTTTAACAAAAATAGAAGCGATTTAAAGAAGAAATTGTCTTCTGTAGATACATGTTTTTTTTATATTGATATGTTGTCAATTTGCTAAGATACTCGCTTTAAAGTGCATGTGCTTTTTATATTATTCAATATTGCACATCAAAGCGGCCTAATCCTTAATATTGCCCAAATGCAAAAAACATCCGTTGCAGTGGTTTAGTTCACATATTCAGGATTATTTTGATATCATTAGCGTCAAAATCGAGCTTTTAGAAGATTTTTGCCGATTTTTTATATAAACATACATTGATGATATGAATTCGCCTCACCGGCAATATTATTTCACAATAATAAAAATATCGAAACAAATTTCGGGCAAAAAAAGCCGAAAACCTGCCCCCTAGGTCCAATTTTACGCCAGAAATCGATTTCCGGGGTCAAATTTACCCTAGGGGGGATGCATTAGGGAGTTTTGTCACATTTTCCAACCGCATGACAACATTCCGAGCATGCGGTAAGCACGCGCTTAGCAACAATGATCGCTTAGAACTTATAAAATGCTATTTTCTCCGCTTCTTTTGCACATCCTACCCCAACAATTAGTCAGAATTATAACAGAATGATAGTATGTAAAATTCAGACATTTTAAAAAACACAGAGAACAAAAAAAGCGAGAAAATACTGAATTTCTAAAGTATATGGTTGCTATGGGGAGTAATTTGAGATAACAAGGCAACTTATTATTTTGATTCATGTTTTGACTTATAATACAAATGCAGTTTATTCTTATATGCGGTTTTGAATATACCATTTAAATAATCTTTTCAAGCTCTATCGTTTGGCGTTATTCCGGGGTCTTTAGCCCAAATACTCGCTGAGATATTTAGGTTTTTGCTTTTCCCCGACATATTGTCGGGAGCAATAGTGACCAGACGGGAGCGAGTTAACCGTTGGAAGAACCCAACCCATCAGGGTGCACATGATAGATAAATGTCCATTTTATAGATTGGCTTGCTACGTAGTAGTTGATGACTTTCTCATCTTGTTGAAGTGTTTCTAACCATTTATTGGCGGCCACGAAGGTCTTTGCATTATCGCTCACCATTACTTTTGGAGAACCCCGCCTCTCAACAACCTCTCTCAAGGATCTCTTGAACTCTTCCATACTAAGGTTTCTGCATAGTCCTAGATGCACCGCGCATGTGCATGCAGAAGTAAACAGAATGACATAAGCCTTAGCGGTCAAATTCTTTTGTTTCTTGTAGTACATTGGCCCAGCAAAGTCAATGCCTGTTGTTGAAAATGGATTTGTGTATTGTGTCTGGTGCTCTGGTTGTGCAGATGTAGTGGGAGTTAGTTGTGGTTTGGCTCTTATCTTCTTGCACCTGTTGCACTTAAACCATACTGATTTCATCATTCGATAGAGTTGAGGGACCCACAACCGTTCTCGTACCTTGCACGTTGTTGCCTGAACTTCCCCATGCAAGGTTCCTTTGTGACAATGCTCCATGATCAATGCTGCTAGTGGATGTCTTCGAGGTATGAACACAGGATGGTAGCTGGCGTCACAACCATGACATCTCCACACCCCAACATCGTCTTCCTTTATAGCAAAAGGGTAAAGTAAACTATTACTTCTTCATCTTGCTGGGCAATTTTCAGCCATGGATTTTCAGCTGCTGCAATCTTGTCAGTTGTCAATGGCCCCGTTTGCTTTTCCTTATTTCTGCGATGTCTTATGAATCGGAACATGTACGCTGTAACACAAAGAAGTTTCCAGTACTTGTGCTTTCGAAGGATGGTTTTGACACATTGTTTTCTTTTGTCTGTGGCTTTCCCTTTCTCTTTCTTGGCTGGTAGAGTTTCACATGACGCTTCCTTAGTTTCTGTAATTTTAGGTTGCTCTGGCCACAAGGACTTGCTTGGGTTTTTGTCTGTTGGGATGTAACGCCAGGTGAAGTTCCCTAGATCAAGGTTTGCTTTCACTCGATTCCGCATGTACTTCGACCATGTTCCCCTGTTTGCCAACCAGTACAAGACTGTCAAACTGTCCGACTATAATTGATTCTCTTGCAAAATGTTGAATGAACTGAGAGCATGATTTACATGGCTTGGCAACTTGGCGAGGGTGTAGGCAGCAACAATTTCTAAGCGAGGTATCAAAACATTCTTCGGCGCTACACAAGATTTTGAAACCAGTAGGTTTTGACTTGTCTTTCCATCATTGTAGGTGGCTAGAACACAAATTGCTGCACATACTGATAACTGGCTTGCATCAGCAAAGCCATGTATAGAAATCTGTTGACTCATCAGTTTTACTATGATTCGAGGTACTGTAATCTTGGTACATTCACAAAGTGTTTTAGCCCATTTATTCTATCAACGCCCTATGTCATCAGGTACCTGTTCGTCCCGCAAGACCTTACGCAAACAAAGTTCACTGAACAAGATTTTTTCTGTAATCATTACCAGTAAAGCCCACCCGAGCAGATTGTATACACCATTTATCACTGCCAATATCTTATGTTTAGTCAATGGAGAAGTTATGAGTTGACAAGCTGCAAAGTTAACTCAAAGAGTGTCCATTTTCTTCTCCCAAGGAACTCCTAGGATCTTGGTTGCTGTCCCGCTGTCAACTTTCGCATTAGGATCTTGATCATCTTTGGCTGTTTTGTTGGAATTAGATTCCAACTTCTCAACGTTGCTGTGCCACTTATGTAGAGTGAACCCACCTTTTTCCATGATAATCGTGGATTGTTTTTTACATGTTTCAAATTCACTGACCGAATCTCCTCCACTTTGCATGTTGTCGACATATCTGTCCTTGAGCAAGGCCTTTGTTGCCTCTGGATATTCATCTTGAAACTGTTTCATGTGCTATTGTAAGGTTGCCTCCAAGATATAAAGACTTGGCACAGCTCAAAAAATCACTCTTGTAAACCGGTATTCGACAATTTCTTTGTCTTGTAGGTTGTTGTACTACAACATTCTCTGTGCTTCACAATGTTGCTTGTTTATTTGTACTTGTAAGAAAGCTTTCTTCAAGTCACCTGTGATACAATGACTTCTCAGTCGATTTCTTAAAAGGATGTCGAACAACAGTGGCTGTAAAGATGGTCCCTTCTCGAGGCAGTCATTCAGGGATGGTATTTGAGGATCAGCTTTTGCAGAACAGTCATATAGGATTCTGAGTTTAGTGGACTCAGTATCCTTTTGAATCACCACCAGCTGATGTGGAATGTAGTGGAATGAAGGCTGTTTCGCAAGAGACAGTGTGTTTTGGCCTGGAATGACTAAAGAACTTACTGACTATATTTTGAGATGTCCAACGTGCAACGCTTATCCACAAGATCAACAGAAAGAGCCTCTGATCTGTCATGCCATTCCTGAACGGCCATGGGAGAAGGTTGGCTGTGACCTGTTTGAGTACGATGAAAGTGACTTTTTACTGACAGTTGATTACTTTTCCAATTTCTTTGAGTTATATCAATTAAGAAGCAAAACTTCTGACAAAGTCATAGGAGAACTGAAGTCGCATTTCTCAAGATATGGAGTTCCTGATCAGCTTATCACTGATAATGGACCGCCTTATAATTCAGGAGTATTTTGTGAGTTTGCAAGAGAGTTTGAGTTCGAGCATATCACCAGCTCCCCTGGATATCCGAAGTCGAATGGGAAATCGGAGAATGCGGTAAGGACAGCTAAACGGTTAATGAAAAAAGCGAAAGAGAGTGGTAGAGACCTGTATTTGTCTTTATTTGTCTTTAAGCGAAGGAATTGGATACTCGCCAGCACAGCGTTTATTTTGCCGTAGGACGAGGACATTAATGCCATTTGCTAAGCTTACTTAAGCCTGGTATTCCGAAGAATCTTGAATGTAAGTTGTTGGAACAGAAAAGCAAGCAAGCTTATTACTATATTAAAGGCACGAAAGAGTTACCTGAATTGAAAGACGGTGATCTCGTTCGTATAAAACCATTAAAGATAGCAGAGAAGCATAAGCCATGGGTACAAACGAAAGTGGAAGGGAAAATAGACATTCGTTCCTATCAAGTTCGAACAGAAGATGGCAGAGTTTACAGATGAAATCGACGTCATCTTAAATATTCAAGGGATCAACCAAAGGAAAGTACAGCACCCTTTGATGCCCATCCACCCGAGAGTGAAACAAGTACTACGAGGAACATTGAGCAACAACCACGTGAGAATCCCGTTATTGTCCAATGCAGTGGTCAACCTAATGAAGAAATTGAGAAAGTTCTAGAAGAACAGCACACGGCTGCGAAAACGACAGAAGTTATTTCAGATGGTCTATTGAGAACACGAAGTGGAAGAATTGTTTGAAAACCGTCTTGATATCAAGATTGTTGTAATATTAGGAACTGACCTAACTTATTAGTTTATTTTATAGTTAGACCATTATATATAGTCTATGGTTTGATCGACTTATCCATTGTTTGGACAATTTATTGACACATATTTCGTTGAACAGTAGTTTATAGTATTCAGTTTATAGTTCCGTATGAAAAGTTTGAGATGACAAAAAAACTATTAATGTTTCTTCAGAGAAGGGGGGATGTAATGATATGTATTTTGTATATGAATAATTGCACATCCGGTTTGTTGTATATAAAAAGCGAATGCATTGTAGTTAGTAGTGCAAAATATACAAAGCTGTCTTAGTATAACGAAGTGTTGAGTTATGATAAGAGACGTTACAGTAGTGATCCATCTTCCTCTGACGAGGATTTCGATCGCAAGTTGGAAAGAGCGAATGCCGGGCGCCTTGAAGAACTTACTTGGTGTAAATGTGAACATTGCGCATTATTAACAAGGGCTGTAGAATGTTATTGCTGCTATGAAATAGAGTACGATGAATACGAACATTTAACAAACTCGCGCTTCGTCGTGTGGTGAACTCAAATAATATTTTGTCGTGTCATAATGATATGACATGCTCATTTGATTTCTCTCACATGATACGGCAATTCCTCCAAAAGGAGCAAATAAACGGTTCGTTTGATGCTGTTTGATTAAGTTTAGATTTAATTGGGGAAAGAATATATTTAATGCATGTAGATTCTGGTCTTATTTTAAGATATGATCATTTACCGGCGCGTTGACACATCGCAGTTAATTTGCACAGGATTGAAGATTTAATATATAAAGCATGAATTCCAAAGTGTAAGAAAAAGTGAACATATCATACGGTTTATTTACATTTTTGAACAATTGAAATTCTATACTTTTTAAAGTACGATGAGCTTCTGAATTTCGCGATCGCACAACATTTAGGTTTGCAAGGCATATAAATGAATATCAACTGTATTGTTTATGTTCAGAGCCTTTATATTGAAGACTAGCATGTGCACAGCACGCCAGAGTAAACGCCAGAAAAGGCGCCTTGTTTATGCTAAAATATAGTAAAATTGTAAACAGGGGAAAATATGAGCGCAAACGTACGCATGAGAAAGGAAGGAGACCACCTGTCTTACACGCTAACGCTAGTATCCTTAGCTTTAGTATAAATCTAAATATAAGTAGAATTCTAAACTTTGGGAGATTGGTTATTAGTTGTGTTGTATTGTCACCGTAACGTCATGTTGTATATTGCACTGCATGTGCAAATATGTGTGTACATAGTTCATATTCTTATAGTTCATATGTACATATGTTCTCTTCCAAATATTTTGAAAAACATGTCCCCGCAAAGTTGATGCATTAATTTTGCATAGGTATTAGATTCTGTTCCCCCACTATACCCTATTTTACCAAATTTTCCAAGTTGCCATATGAGAATACAACAATAGTTTATATAATCATATTTCCGGAACCCATCAAATGACATCACAAATGTATGCTAGCATAAATTAGCATAAGGCTCTATTTTCAAAATGGCGGACCACTGATGAACATTTTTGGAAGTTTTCTCAAGAACTAAATACGATAGACACACAAAAACATTAAATTAAGTATTTCCTAGATTATTTTAACAGATTTGGAGAATAAAAATTTTCGTTGCCAATGTCCTTTAAGTGCAAGAGAGCCTACTTCGCTCTCTTCATTTTGTCTTGGTCTGGGAGCAGCATTTTCTGCATTTTGAGCCTCGATCATTTTTCGATTTTGCTCGATTAATATTTTCTGGTTCTCCAGAAGCTGTTTAATGATTTGTTCTGAGCTTTCTAACTCCATTATATTCAGTTATGGCAGTAAAAACTTACAGTAGTCTTTAGACAGTGCAGCAATGTTGAAAACAACACAAAAAAGACAACCAGAATTTAGGCTAGAACAGGTTACATTGTTTGCTGATTGGTTGATTGGCGCACTCGAGCAGGAAATTATTTCACGCTTATAAGTGCATATATTTTCAAAACAAGGCTTGTGTAACAGTCCAGGTATACAGTTTATACTACTAAGTTCACTAATTGCCATAAAAACGTTTACGAAAAATAAAAATTCGAGCTGCATGCGTATTGTACAATATGTCGGGCAAATATATGACATTTTGTCCTCATTGCAAGGTCTTACTTCCTGGAAGAACATATAGAAATCATAGACAAGCTTACTATGATGCAGTTAACAAATGTTGGGAGAAGGATACTAGTTTACTAGACAGTAGCAGCAATGAAGATGAGATTTGGAGGTGTTGCTGGTGTTGATTCGGATGGTGATGTAGTTGATGGAAATGATAGAGTTGGTCATAACAATGAATCAGGTGGAGAAGGAAACGAGACATGGGAAAATATGTATCATGAAGTGTAGGATGATGGGCGTACATATGATGTTGACAAGGATTTGATTGAGAATATTCAAAATCCTCTGTTTGTTCCTGCTCAAAGCGATGATGATGATAATTCGAAAAGTACGAAGCAAAAGTCTATCATCCGTTCTATTGCAATAGTGCTTGTTTTTTTCTGGACTAACTTTAATATTTCTGATTGAGCTTTGGAGTTCCTTTTGCAATTTTTATCGAGAATTTTATGTTTTTTCATTGACTAATCATTGGATGGCAAATCTCTTTGACTTGTTTCCGGGATCACTATACTTACTTCGGAAGGAAATGAACCTTTTGAATGATGGTTTTGTTAAATACGTTGTTTGTCCAAAATGTGACTCACTTTACTCTTTTGAAGATTGCTTTCATAATGTTGGAAATCGAAATGTTCCTAACACCTGTGGCTTCATCAAATTTCCTAATCATCACCAGAGGTGGAGACAAACGAAATGCGGTGCACATCTTTTGAAGGAAGTTACATTTAGTGACAGCAAAAAACAGTTGTATCCCCACAAAGTGTACTGTTACAAGAGTATAATAAACTCTTTGAAAGATCTTGTTAAGAGAACTCATTTTGTAGAGAAATGCAAATTGTGGCGGACAAGAGGAGACATTCGTACGATCCATCAGTTTATGTGTGATGTTTTCGAAGGACGCGTGTGGAGTGATTTTCAAGTTGTTAATGATCGGCCATTTCTTTCTGAACCTCAAAACTATGCACTTATGTTAAATGTCGATTGGATGCGGCCATTTAAACGTATGCAGTATGCAATCAGTGTCTTATACATGGTATTGATGAATCTTTCCTCGGCATGAGCGCTTCAAGAGAGAAAATGGTATTCTCGTTGGGATTATTCCTGGCCCAAAAGAACCTTCTGGAAATATTAATTCCTACCTCTCTCCTCTTGTCGATGAGTTGGTAATGCTATGGAACGATGGTATTTCAATTAAACATCCTGGAGCACTGTTTCGAGCTGCTCTTCTTTGTGTAGCTTGTGAAGTTCCAGCAGGTAGAAAAACCTGCGGGTTCTTGAGCCATAACTCAAGAAAGGGCTGTCATAGGTGTACTAAGCAGTTTGTTATTGGTGGTGTTTGTGAACCAAGTGATTATTTGGGTTTTGATGCTTGCGACCTTAGAACTAATACAACTCACCATGCGCACGTTGAACAAGTTTGCCAACAGAGCACGCAAGAAGAGAAAGCTAAAGCAGAAAGTGAACACTGTGTCCGTTTTTCTGAACTTTTTCGATTTCCATATTTCGACTCCGTCCGCTTCACCATTTCCAATGCATAACCTTTTTCTTGGTACTGCCAAACAGATCATAGAGCTGTGGCTTGATAATGGATTGCTAAATAGCAATAACTTAAAACATGTACAAGAGATGGTAGACAAGTGTAAAACTCCCTTCCGATCTCAGTCGTTTGCCAAGGAAAATTGAGAAATCTTTTGGAGGTTTCAGGGCTGAACAGTGGAAGACGTGGGTGCAACCTCGTACCCAGGGTCTTTCGTGGGGGAAAAGAAAGACCCTGGCAGCGGCTGGTCACGTGCCTCCCACTTTTTGGGAGGTAAATAGTGATTTTACTCTGGGAGGGGTGGCTGAGGAGTGAACTTATCTCGGTATGAAATTTTCATAAACGAATTCACAGCTCTGTTAAAAAAAAATGCAACATCCATGTATTTTCTCTGAGGAACAAAAGTCGAAAAACTATATTTCCGATTCGAATTATTCAGCACCTCAGGGGGAATTTGTTATGTCCGATATCGAATTTCAACGCTTCACTCGTGTCACTTTACTCGTGGCTTTCTGCGCGCCGATGGCTAGCAAAGACACACCGAAAAAACACTATAAAAAGGTTCCGGCGTTGACTCAAAATTCGCGCTGCGGACTTTGTAAATCTGTTGTTGATCCTTATCACAGTAAAAATTTATTTCGGAACACTAATCAGAGTGTTTTACGCAATGCTGAGAGTGTGCCGCAAGAAGATGGCCTTCCACATTTGATATGTCGACCGTGCGAAAGAAGATTAAATAATGCCATACAGTTTAAGAATACCATTCAAGAAACTCAACGATCACTATGGGAGAATTTGCGCTCGAAACGCTGTATTGAAGTTTCCCCTTCTACAGTAAAACCGCCCGCCAAAATACAAACTGTCGGTTTGCGTAGACAAAGTCTGGATTTTTAGTACCTCAAAAGATGACGTCCCTGTTACTGTAAGTAAATTTATTTTGTCTTCATAGCGATAATACATTTATGTTCGAACGACGTAATGGCATATTCTGCAACATTGAATTTATAAATATGTTAATGCTATCATGAATAATAATGCATGAGCTTTATGCAAATCCAGAATCCTAATGGTTGATGGTTCTATTCATTAGTGCTGCAGTGTGTCTGAAAAAAAAAGTTGTGCACTGTGTCTGAAAAAAAAAAGTTGAACCAATTTCAATAGAAATTAGCATCCTATTGTATTAAATTTCAAAGAGTTCACAAAATAAGATCTGGATGTACATATATTTATGTATATGTTGTCAACATAATGAAGATACTGCATATTGTGTAGGGTAAAGATCCAGACCATTTAGAAGATATTTTGAAGGGAGCAAATGAAGAACTTCTTCGAGTTGCCAGAAGAAGTGAACCATCAGTTTTGAGGGAAAGAAGTTGTGATGGAATGTCTGCTGAAGGTAATAATAAATATTATGAATGGTATTTATTAAAATTACTGTATACAGTAAACCTCAGCCATGAATATCAGCCATGGGCTTTATGATACAGATTATTAAGGGGGCTTACATTATTAACGAAGTTTAGTTTTGTATTTATGTGAATAAATTACAATATATATAATATTAACCTCATTGATCAAGATTGGATGGCAGAGGTTATGAATGAGCTATCAACACGTTGTCCAATTGTAAAGAAGATCCTGTCAAGCCTGCTGCAATACAGCTATAATGTTGGGAAGAAAACGCCTGCTATCAGCTTAATTTATGGCATCATAATGTTCTTGAGATGTCACGAGTTAAGCAGGATACAGAGGATAAATTCAGTCCTGCTTACACATGGGCAAGCATCAGTAAATGTAATTGTAAATGGGAAGCTCATAAAATCATTGTTGCTATTAATCTTGAACTCTTCACTTAGACAAGCAAAATGAACTGATACTCACAACTGAGTGTCTGGTTGACAGCATGTTTCATTACACACCCTTTAAGGGCCTGTTACACTGTGCCATTTTCCTTGCAACTTGCAATGCAATTCTACTCTTGAGAGATGTTAAGTTGGCCAATACCATATTTTATTGCATGCTTACATTTTGAACCCTCTTCAGTAATTAACATCTCTCAGAATTACAATTGCATTGCAAGTTGCAAGGGAAATTGCATAGTGTAATGTAGCCTTAAATTATGGATTATTCTACTCGTAAAGGGGAAGTGTATTATATTTACTTTACAATAGGTTTATATTGATCTAAATGCTATACATAATATTTTAATTCTAGTTGATTGACTGGCTTAACAAGTATGGTATATGCCTTGATCCAACCAAGAAGTATACAATACTTGATGATATTGGCAAACAATTTATTGATCGTGCTGCAGCTATGGTGAAGTCTGGCCATAAGTTTGTTTATGTTCTGGACAATATAGATTGGGAAGAAAAGGTTCATGACATGAGAACAGATTCTCAAAATGCCAGTGTTCATGCTGTAGCAACAAGCATTGTATTCAGTAGAGTACCTGTTGGAGATTTACCAGATAATGGACCTCAGCATGACTTAAAGGAATGTAATGTTACCAAGTTGGCAAAACTCAACCAAGCAGATAAGGAGTCAATTAGAAGTCGGTACAAAATACTAATTGCAAAACTTTTATTTGACCATTTCCCTGCCTTTAACAAATTTAAACCTTTTGTCCCACAAACCACCGACTGCCTCCATGCCAAGGAAATGGCAACAAAATCTGAAGTTATTACCATGCCAATCCTACTGAAAGATGAAAAAAAATATTCAGATTGTGTGGATGTCCTAGATCAATTGGAAAAATGGACATATGAAATTTATTCTGCTGCTGGTCTTTGTTCTTCCAGTGATTCTACCGCACAACCCACCTCACAATCTTCCACCTCTTCAGCTTCTGCAGTTGATAATATCCCTAAGCATTCATCCAGTGATATGGCCATGCCTGCTGTAGGATGTCGGTCCAGACCTGATCAACCTGCCTCACATGTACCACCCACTGCTTCAGATGACGATCCTTTGGTCAGAGTGAAAATACCATGCTTTGGGGATCAGCTCACTCGCGTTCGTTTTGCAGGTGCCAAAGACCTTCGTGCTGGATGCCATCAAGCTAATCAAAGATTTGACCATCTCTATCCATTTTGCATTGTGGACTGGCATACAAAAAGAAGCTTTTTGAAGGTAATGTATATTTTATATTGAAGATATAAAGTGTGCTGTATAAACTTCTTTTGAATCAACCCAATAATTTGGGCATTATGGGGTTGTGTGTCATATCAATTTTATTCAATGAAACTAAGTTGAACTGTCCTGTACCTAAATTAACCCATCAGTCATTGAAACATCACACATTCTAAGGAACCATAAACTGTAATAATTTATGTATGCACATTAAAGTAAGCTTATATTCTATATAATGGTATCCATTGAATATTAAGTTACTTTGAATTGCATCCAGAAATTATGTTTAAATTTTTGAGTTATATTTTTACTATTGCTAGTGCTGAACAATTTTAATTGTCAACAGGATAACAGTATTATAGTTTATGATTTAAAGAAAGTCTAATATACTTATTTATTTTTGTAGACTGTATTTAAGAGATTGTACAAAACTTCTGGAAGAGAGAAAGGTACCCTGCGATTCTTCAGAGAGAAGCTCAACCGCAGAAATGTTACGGTAGATGTGAAACACTACAAGGACTGTGAACAGTTCTTTGTTATAGTTGGAAAATGTTATCTTGTAGAAGCCCTTTTGGATTTTTTTCAAATGGCTGATGCAAAATGTTCCCCAGTGGTAAATGCTCCTCACAGTTTTCGTGTGCTTGACAATGCATACCAAAAAAGTTATATCATGAGCACCCTTGATAAGTTTCTGGATGAATACATTTTCATTGATGAAAACCAAATAGAGAGTTCTACAGTCAAGACAGATGACGTTTGGTGTTATGCAGTGAACACTTTAAGATCATTCATGCTACTTTTAGACTTTAAGGATGCTGTTGCAGCTGGCAATGGAGAACACTTGTCATTAATAAGAAAACAGTTGTTAATTCATTTCTTTTCGACAACTGGTTTTAACCAGTTTTCCATTGAAATGCTTGTTAACATATTGCAGTCTGAGGTCTTGTTGTCAGAAGCAGAGGCCTTTAACTGCAAATGGGCTGCCATTGTGAACTGGAATGGTGGTGCTGGGAAGAATATAGAAATAGACCTTTTCCAAGAGAACCAAAACTCTGAGATGAAGAAGCTCATCAGATCTATGGGTGCAAACAAGTCTGTCAAAGCAATTACTCGTGCAAGCAAAGCTTCTGCAGGAGTGTCCAAAGTTGTGGAGTCATTTCAGAAGCAGGTGAATTTACATAGAAGATCATCTGCACACTCCCACAAGTCCTCTGATAGTGATGAACGTTTGATCCTTGCTGATCTAAGAGGTATAAGGCCTTTTTCAAAAGTTGAGGAAAGATCCTTGGAGTCTTTTGTTGGGATATCCCATGATCCCACACATTTGTTTGATGAAGCCAAGTTTAGAGAATGGATTAAACAGCATAAGAAAAACATTCTCAGGAATAACTCAACATCAACTGGCACTGAATTAGACAGTTCTGACAAAGAATCATAAAGTTCTAATGAAGAATCAGATTGACATTGTGCTAAATTAAACAGGCATATTTTTGTCACAGTGCATATTTGTATTTGCATACATACGATAGGATTATACTGTATATACAATATTCTTGCACTATGATTGTCAAGAATGAACAATATCAATTTCCTAACTTTTTAATAGAGTAGAGCATGTACATAGAAATAATTCGTACAATGTTTAGGGCTTTATGGTAAACAGCACTTTTGAGATACATACTCGTGATTTATTTGTGAGTAATATATATATTTATATATATATATATATATATATATATATATATATATATATATATATATATATATATATATATATATTACATATATTACACGAATATGTATCTCAAAAGTGCTGTTTACCATACAAGAAATAGAGGATAGGCAATAATGTTCTTAACCTAAATTTGTCCCATCATTGGCACCACCACACATTCTGTACATTCACACTTTTGCTTGCAAATACTACAACAAACATGTTGTGGAAGAATAGGCTTCTCCTGTTCATAGTCAAGTGCTTTCAATAAAAGAAGTCTAATACAAATGTTATTATTGGAACAAAAAGCTCTCATCTCATCTTGCATACCCACTCTGTTTTTTGAAATATTTCGCTTGTTGTAGTACAAAGTGGCTGATGCAGGCTTGCCATCCCTACCAGCACGTCCAGTTTCTTGGAAATATGCCTTTATAAGTGCATGGAGGGCTTACATGAATGACATTGCGAATATCAGGAATATCCACACCCATCCCCATTGCAACAGTTGCAAACACAATACGGATGGTTCCTCTTGTCGAGCATAGCTGTTTGAGTATTTCATCTTTCATTTGACTGGTCTGTGGTGCATGAAATTGAGCAAACATTCTATTTGAAAGAATGGGAGGTGATCCAACTGGGAAATATTGTTCACTTACCAGCACATGTTCAAATAACTTATATGTGAGCCCACAAAATTTTAATGATATGTAAATAACTGTGAGGGGATATTCAATCTTCATCCTCAACAGATCCTTTGCCATTGGAATTAATATGGATTCAACAGCATCAGCATCATTACCATGTTTTAAAACTTTTTTATAAAAAATGTTTGCTCTGTCTGGATTTGCCATCACAATCTTGCATTTTTTTAATCCCAGTGACTCCTTTATGCATTTCATGTCTGCATGACTGGCTGTTGCTGTCATTGCAACAACAGGCACGTCTGGGAAAAATGCACATAAAGCACCAAGTTTGGAATAATCCTTTCTGAAGTCAGAACCCCTGCAAGTGTGTAAAAGTCATTATGAATACTCAAGGATAGTAAACAACACAATTTGACATGTGCACTATACCAAGTTTAGAGGGCAAGCAGCTTGCTTAAAGAGTATTTTTAAACATGCAGTGCAAATATCTTTGTAACTCACCAATCTAGAATACAGTGAGCCTCGTCTACGACAATAGCCACAACATTTTCTCTGTACGCTTTCGTTAACAATAACTCTCGACCATATTTACTCGTTACAAATGATTCAGGATGGGTAAAAATGATATGATAACAGCCATTCCGCAGCTTTTCTTCTTCGCAAAGGCTGAAATCCAATTCCATGTTTACAATGTTCTCTGTATCTTCTTCAATAATATCGGCGGTTGAGCCGTCCTTTACCGACAGAACAGAAGCTCGAATACCACTTAAGTTTAGCCGTGAGATTTGATTACTTATCAAAGCGTTCAATGGTGAGACTACAATAACGATCGTATTAACATCTTCAGGGATAAATTCTCTGGGCTTCCAACCAACAAAATTAAAGTCGCTGTCCAGTTTGTGTTTTGCAAACAACAACATCAGCACGAGATGAAATATCAAAGACTTGCCATAACCAGTCGGTAATACGCATAGGACGTCTTTTTGCAAAAAAACACTCTCTAGGCATATGACTTGCTTTGGTTTTAAAACGGTGTCGCTATACAGACTATTTAGAATTGCAAATTCCAAACATGAGAGAAAAGCAATAAATTCCAACATGGTTTCGAAGGTTTCGCTGTTCTTGCAAATTTGGAATATTATTGCTTTTAGTGGAAACATGTAATATGATACTCTACCGATACCCCCTAAGGCAATTAAGTCACGTGACCAGCCGCTGCCAGGGTCTTTCTTTTTTCCCCTACGAAAGACCCTGGGTACGAGGTTGACGTGGGTGCTGGTTTTTTTGCTTTTTTCTCTGTTTGGTCAATTTCCGATGGAGCGTTATTTGTGTTGGCTGCCATTTGTTGAAGCATGTGCGATCTTGTGTAGGCCATTGATAAAAATAAATGACGTTGAGAAAGCTCACTTTGCCCTTTTAAAGTTTTGCAGTGAATTTGAACGCCTTTACAAACCAGGAAACGTCACTCCAAACATGCACCTTCATACACATCTCGCTGAATGCACCCTCGACTACGGACCTGTCTACTCCTTTTGGTTGTTCAGCTTTGAAAGATATAACGGTGTATTGGGTGAATTCCAAACAAATAACAAGTCAGTGGAAATCCAAATTATGCGAAAATTTCTATGTGATCAAAGTGTTTACGCGCTAGACATTCCAGCTGATTATATAAACCATTTCCAACCCCTTTTTAGACAATTTTCAACTGCTTCTGTTGCTGACAACGCACAAATTATTGAAGACTCCAGGCTTGGTAAAAGGTTTTGTCAACCCAGAAAACCATTTGTGGTATTCGCTTTACTGTTACCAATTTGGGACTCATCATATACCTTCTTATCTGGATGATGATGACGTTGAAGCTCTTGCTGATACTTACAAGATTTTCTTCCCCACTCTTTCCTTGGACGATGTTCCCCGTTTATTTGACAAGTACGAGTCAATTCAGTTGGCTGGAGTTAAGTATTGTTCTTGTATGTCTCGGCTAAACCGCTCTTCGTATGTTCTTGCTAGATGGGCAGGGCGCTTTAATGGCGAGATCAATAGAACTGGCTCTGATTTGCGACCAGCATATGTCAAGTATTTTGTGAGGCAAATAATCTCATTTGGTGGTTCCAGGTACTCATTCTGTTTCGCTTGTGTAGTTTGGTTCCAGGCTCATCCGAATCGATATTTACTGGGACAGTCTACTGTATCTCCTCAGTTGTGGTGTCGAAATACTTTTGAGCCTTTTGGACCATCTTCATTTCTGCCCGTCCAGAGAATTACTGACAAGTTTGTTGCTGGATACGGCGAGGTTGATCAGGAGACTGTTATGTATGTTTTGCCACTGCAAGCAATATCTCGAGTGTAAACAATGCTTTACAGGTGTCGTATTTTGACGAGTTTCAAACCGACAATTAATTGTGTTAACGTTTAAAGTTTATAAATTATTTGCTTTAAAGGGAAAGTGGTACAAACATGACACAATATTACCATTGTTATTAATGAAACAAATGGGAATGGGTGTAAAAACAAAAAGGTTTAAGCGGGTCGGCTTCAAGGAGATTGACGAATGAAATAAAACAAAGAGGTGGGATAAATAATGATTGGTCAATTTTGGAAATCCTGGTCCCTTTCCCAATTATAATAGAATTCAATGAATTAAACGATGAAAAAATTTAGCACACTTTGCAACAACACAAAAAGGTGGTTTCAGAAAAAAAATTGTTGGAAAAAGGAAAAAAAAGTATATAAAACAAAAAGGAGGTACTGGATCCTTGGCTCCAATGTTGGCAATGCCTCTTCTTCCTTCATTAATGGGGAAGTAATGAAGTTTAACGCGATCTGTTTTGTTAGCAAGTATTTCATGACCGATGACATTGATAAACTTGGAAAAAATACATAGACAATTCTCTGGGTGCATATCCTGCTGATATTTTACCACTTAGTGATTTACAGTTTTTGGAAGGAAAGCAGAAAAATATCAACAATTTTGGAGTACATTTGCAACGGAAAATAATTTACAATTGATTCATGTTAATAACAAATTTATTCAAAACATGTTTACTGTAACATGCAGGATGTGGAGTTTATTATATCTTTGGAATAAATTGTTATTTCTGGAGGAAAATGAAATATTTTTTTGTGTGATGGGTAAAATTAAAAAAAAAGAACAAGTAAGAAAAACACTTGAAAATGAAATGAAATTATTTGAAATATCCAAAAACAATTTTGACATTAAATCATTATATGAACAAAAATGTAAAAAAGTAGAAAATAGTCAGAAATGTAAAACTTTTATTTCATTAATAAAAAGAATTAAATTATATACAATGTTGTGTCTTCATTTGGCATTATTTTTGTGCGAAATCATGCATTTGCATAACTGTCAGGTTTCCCATCAAAAAACAAATACAAATTCTTTTTATCTTTAATGTCATTATATATTTAATTGAATCTTCTTTTTTCACTTCCTTTGCTTTTAGCCATTTGGTAAATTGGTTTTACATCTGTATGATTGATAAACACACAATGATGATGACTATTTTTTTTAATGTTGAAAGGACGTATTTATACCAGATATCTTGGCAGACAAATATCAATGACATGTCAAGGTGATGACTATCGCAACAAACTAAACTATTCAAATTTCTTTGATTTTCTGATGCTGTGCATGATGCAGTCGCTGAACCAACATGAACCATTAGATCATCTAGGATTAACAATGTTCTTACACCAAATTCATTTTTTATATCATCGATTGTTAGGATACCTTTATCACAATCAATAAACTTTATATCTTGAAGGTCGCTTTCATTTTGTTTTTCTCTAATTTCTTTTTGAATTTCATCGTAAATCGGTTCAAATGTGGTATAAAAAAAGACGATTTTATCAGGTGTCGAGTCAATAATTTTGTCGATGTTTGCAATTAGCTGTTTTATGAAATATGTCTTTCCACATTGTGTTGGTCCTGTAATGCACATTGTAAACGGATTGGAAAGGGGTAGCGTTACATTGGTTATCTCGTTTCGCTAAAACAAAAACCAAACAGAAATTATTTATAAGAATTTTCAATAATGTATCTTTTATTAAATGTGAATTTGAATTTTTTAATTTCGGGTAACACCATTACCTGTTGGCGATTATTTCGTGTAATTTTTCGATTATAATAAATATCGATAATTTGTTATTTATTTTCCACACACCATTTTATTGATTCAAAATTAATTTTCGCTACAATTATCCTTTTCCATTTCATCTGTTAAGTCGTCAAGAAAATTCCCAGTTTGAATAATATTTTTGTTTTTTTCAGTTTCAACAAAAAAAACAGAATAAGTATCATAATACAATACATTTCCACCTAAGTTCTCTAATACATTATATAGTTCTAATCGAGCATAAGTGATCACAAATGAAGCAACAACAACATTTCTATTATCCAAGTGAACAGATGTTGACATTTTTTCCTATGTGTTGTTTGCACACAATTATCCGGTATAAAATCAATTGATGTTACATCGACGGTATTGTATTATTGTATTATTGTATGGGGATTAATAATTTGCATAATTTCATATATGAATTAATGAAATCAACAACAACGCTGTTATCATTTTGTGCCAATTTACCCCATAATGCGTTTAGTAAAAATTTGGCAATCGTTCGTAATGCGGGATCTTTTTGCACTAATTTCTCTTTATTCAATTTTATTTTTTCAATTCTTTCATATTCATTTATGAAGTGATTTAAAAGATTATCATTAATGTTTCCCTCTTCATCAAAACATTCTTTTGGAACTCTGCTACTTTCTTGTTTTATCTTTAAAACGTGTTCACATATTCCCCGAAAATCTCTGCTGACCGTGTATAATCATATACTTCTTCAAAAATTTCAATTATTTTATATCCCATGCCAATTGCTTTTTTAACTTCAACACTTGTCCATGTTCCATAAAGATAGCGCTCGTCGACAGAATGTGAACAACTTATCGTTTTCTCAATTGTACATTGATGACACAGAGCAAAAATTAATTTCCCCTCAAAACAGAACGGCAAAACAGGAAAAAATAATGATCTTGGTGGTAATATTTTACATTTTATCAATCCGGTCATGTTATTAACATCAATGGATTTACATTGTTCTCGCAAGTAAATGTCAGGATGACCAATTGGAAATTTATTTTTCTTTTGCACATACAAATAAAGAGATGTAAAATCATAATAATACCGGATTTTTTCACCTTACTTCACATCGTAATTTAAAAAAACAGGGCATGTTCGCCCACCAAAAAGGCTATCTCTTGGCTCAAGTGGTAAAAAGTTGAAATATTTTAGTTTCTCATGTGCAACTTTTTTTTCAGTTAACTTGTTTTCAATTAGAAAGTCACATTCCCATTTTTCAATAACTTTATATCTATGTGATAACATTAATTCTGTGAATCATCTTGTTTTTTCTCGCAAATTAAAAAACTTTCATTAGTTGTACTATTGAAACCTTCGAGCTCAAAACATTTTTCACATCCATGAAAATAACATCCGTGAAACTGATATACAGTGTTTGTGTTTTCATCAAAGCCATCAACATGTTGCCCACAAATTTGCTTTTCACCATTTCGATGCATTTTTGAGTGTGTTAAATTAGGAATAGAATTTAACCAACATAATGCAATTAATGATTGATTGGTATTCCCTCGATATCCTTGTTTTGGAATTAACGCCATTTGATGTTTTTTTAAAAAGTTTAACTTAAAAACCTTTAATGCAACACTTGCGATTGTTAGCATGGACGAATCGTAAAACGGTCAAACATTCGCAATTTCATTCATTAAATTTGAAAAAATTAAACATCCATTTCGAGGAATATTAACATCCGAAACACAATAATAATAAATCTCATCACGAAATACATATGTTGATTTACATTACTTATTATACCAAGAATTGAATGCCTTTCTTTCTTCATCACCCATTTTTGTTAGGTCAAAAAATCGAACATAAATCGTAAAATAAATAGGGGTGATACCCTTTGGTTAAATCTTCAAAACCTAAGCAAGTTGGAAATTTAGCTAACGACATATGCAAAAACAAGTAACTATCAAGAAATGTCGCATTAACAAAGGGTA